TTTAAGATAAGAGACGCGTAAACCTTTTATTAGCTCTTCTAGATTATAAAAGATATCTTTAAGATAGTCTAATCTAGTCTTTAATTATAGGAAACGAATTTCTTTAATATCTTTTCTTAGTACTTTAGACTCTATTATAATATAATTTCTTAAGTTAAAATAAATTTATTTAGCTCGTAGATATTTCTCTAAATGCGAGTAGCGAGGCTATATATATTTAATCTCGCTATAAAAGTAATAAACTATATTACGTCGATCTCTCTTATAGCTAAGTCTCTCGGTTACGAATACTCTTAATCTTAGCTCTAAATTTAGATTTAATATATAACTAAATAAATCTAAATTTACTATCGTTATATTCACTGAGACATTAATTATTTCTATCACTACTTATATTTATTTCTTTAAGTCTCTTATTTCTAGTATCATCGTACTTTAGAAACGATTAGATAGTTTATTAATATATTCCGTTAATAATAGCTTAGTAGAGAGAAGCACTATTCTTTATTTAATTTAAGAAGTTCGAGAAGATACTTCATTAGTCGTTTTCTTAGTTTTCTTATTCTTTTTCTTATCTTTTATACTTCTCTTTTTCTATTTTAATATCGAGAACTTTTCTTTACGTTCTTTCATTAAATTATTTAAAGTCTAATCTTCTAAAGAGTTTATAAAACGATTAGTATTATAGTGGGCTTACGAGCGATCTATAGTCTTTTTATAAATCTTATCGTACTTAATTATTTTAGTATCTCTATAATTATTACGAGCCCACCGTTGTCCCTAAGTACTCTACGCCCTTCACCCGAATCGGGTGGACGGTATAGAAAGAAAAGGAAAGGATAAGGCAAAGGACGGTTGAGGCACAAGGCTATCGGTTAACGCTGCCTTACCCTTTTCACGTGACAGAAAGAGGGGAAGCTATAAGAGTCTCCTCTCACCTGAATCGGCTGAGAGAGAACTCTTTCTTTTTCTTAAGCGTTGAGTCGTTGTCAATAGGACTACGTAAATAGAATAAGGTATTCAGCTACTCTAATTCCTTTGTACCTACTGCGTTGCGTAGGTCCCTAATAATAATCGATGTCTAAATCTAAGATAATTTTATTACGATCTCACTTTAATAATCTTTTTAGTAATTATTTATTTAATTAAATAGAGATTACTTTTTCTTCTTTAAGTAAAGTATCGTTAGTTCTTTTAAATTCGCGTAGATAAATATATATATTTTTCTTACTCTCTCGCTTTTTATCTTTAAGCGATTATAAATAGAAAAGAGTTAATATTAGTTAATCTTTATCTTCGTTCTTTTACTTCTTTAGTATCTTCCGCTTAATATTTTTCTAATCTCATAATTTATATTTAGATAGATTACGAATAATTACTATATAGAAACGGTTATAAAAACGAATGATCGCTTTAGTACGATCTTCTTTTAATTATCGATTATATAGAGATAAATACTCGAAATTCTCTAAGAAAGTCGTAATATTTAAGTCTTTAAAGAATAAGTATTCGAAATTCTTCTTACTTCTCTATAGTATCTTTAATATAATTAGCTTATTTCTATTTTACGCTATTATCATCGGATTCGGTATCGTTATTATCTATATAGATTCTAAGAAAGACGGTTATAAGAAATCTCTAGAAGAAGATAAGAAAGCCGCGGAAGACACTAAAGAAGTGCTCGTAGTCGGTTTTCGAAATCTCGATATTCTAGATTACTTCGATATTATCGCTTCTATACTTTAAAAGAATTAGTTTAGAAGCTCTCGAATACTTACGATTTCTTAGAGTAGTAGCTAAATTAATAAGTAAATTAGCTACGCTTCTAGTAAAGTATCTTCTTCTCGAAACTTAATTTAATAATTAAATAAATCTCGCTCTTTAATACTTAGTTCGTAATCTTTTCAATCTATAAGTGATCTTCGTATACGAGAGAACCGATTTTCTTAATTAGCTCTAATATAACGTAAGTAATCTCTATAGCGCCGATTAAATTTATATCTCGAATATTAATTAGCTAAAAGAACTATATTCGACGTAGTAATAGCTAGCCGTCGATAATATTTTCTTTATTTATCTAATCGTAATAGTCTAAAATCATCATCATAACTTTATATCGAATTCTCTATCACTATATTTCTCTATCTTAAAACTTTTTCGTATTCCGTGTTTCTTTACTTCTTCTCTTTATCGTCGTTCTATATATCTTAATTCTTCCGCGGGTATACTTTTTCGACGACTCGCCTAGAAGAACTTCTAGATCTTTAAGAGATAGTCTTCTTTCTCTTCGAGTTTCGCGTTAGGCTTTATACGCTATAATATTATAGCGTCTTATTCTACTAATCGAGTATCTTCCCTTCGGAAATATCTTTACTATAGTATTCTATTCGCGACTAATTAATTTACTTCTTTAAAGAGTTATTTATCTTAAATTCTTCTTAATATTTCGGTTTTAAACTCTTTCGTAGAAAAGATTTTCTAAATAATTAGCGAACTTTATCTCTATAAATAGTCTCATCGTCTTTTAAAGTTAAATCGATATCTACGCGAATTAGTTAATCTCGAACTCCTATTTAGTCGTATCTTTCACTCTTTAGTATTAACTTTAGTAATTCTTAATATAGTATCTTATTAAGATATTATCGTAAAGAGCTCGAATCTTCGATGAATAGATTATCTTCTCGCGGTCGCTAACTATAATAGAGCACTTTAGGGTTTAGCGTGCACGTATAACAACATATAGAGGCCTATCCAGTAGATCGGGAATTAAGAACGCGTTTCTGGTTAATACTGACAAGATAACACCACTAACACTATTTAGAGGGGCAGCGGCTAGGGCTATAAATACCTAGTATAGCGGGAGCATCGACGGATAGAATAGGACTAATAAAAAAAAACACTTAAGAATTAGATAGACGGCGTCAAAAGTTATGGAATTCATGATGCTCTGCTCAATCTCTAATGAATGGCACACTGCTAGCACTATAAATTGTTCTGTATCTTCTTCTGCCAGCCCATTTAGGTTTGATATGTGACTAGATAACTTTTCCTCTCTGCCACCGCTCTATCAGCCCAGTACGGCCCATCATAGTATAGCCACCTTGCCTTGTTACACTATATAGTTCTTAGTGATAATTAACTATTTATACTTTGCGTGATCTATATTTAGTTTATACTATTTAAGGGCTTATTACTAAGAATCCTAACCTAGTTAGGACTTAGTAGAAATCTTAACACCTTACTAGAGTCACTATTTATCTAGCTAATAATAGTAGCTAATTAGCGAACAACGGAATAGATAGGAATATATTTCATTATCTCTAGGTTAAGTATTCACCTTTTTAATAGTATTTTCTATATATTCGATAGTAACTATTATAATTCGTAGGATAGAGACCTTAATTAAATGCCCTTCAGTCTACGGATCAACGTATTATGACCGGCATCGTTCGCGGCGGCGGTAGCGCGAATAGAGGGATATCGACGTGCGTAATAGTCGTCGATAGTATCTTATATTCTAGCCTCTCAATTAGCGTCTATTTGAGCGTTCTGGCGAGATGGTGGGGTGGTGATTGAGTGGTTGCAAGTGGAATGGTATACGTGGTGGTGGGGTTGACGCGTGGTGCGTTACTTAATGGGTGGACTTAGTTCGCTTGGGTCTCCGCATAAAGATGACGTGGCCATCCCTCGGGAAGACGGAACATCGAGGTTGTGTTTTCAGTGGGGTTGTCACATCGTGCTAAGCATTTTTGACCTCGTATACGGATAGCGCTATGCCGGCAGACTGCCGGCGATCACTTCGCATGTTGAGAGCTAAGCTTTTTTAATCTCTCTCAACAGTGAGAGGACTCCCTGCTCTGCGAACTACAGTACCTCTGCTGCTATTGGCATTTCTTTCGTATACCTTAAGCACTACACCCACAGGTAGCGTAATGGCACTCCGACAGGGGTCCAGATTGCATAAGAACTCTCAGCGCGAGTTGGATGTCAAAATCACTTTCAATTTTCACTTCGATAGTTGAGGGATAAAGGGTAGAAATCCCTCACGGAAGAGGCGGTGAGTCTGTTGAAAGGGAATCTCTGACGCACTCCTGTAGGAGCCGACATTGGGATATAGTCACTTAGAATAGGCGAGTAACGGATGACATCTAACACTCAGCCTTTTAGGCTGATCGGGTAGATTCAAAACTTCTCCACCAGAAATAGGTACGAGTTTTGTCGGAATAGACATTCAAAAGATGGCAGTTTTAGACACAATAATGTATAATCCAAGGACAATAATTGATTCTGAATTCTGTTCTGTGTGAGTCTCCCCTCGACGTTGAGGTTCGTGTGCTTATCTTTCAATTCACACCCTTCGCGAGCGAAACTCCTTTTCTAGCTACAATCTTACCCTGGTGAGATCAGGCAGTGCGTAACACGTCGCCTACCCCCACCCGGGAATGAACTCTCTAATAATCGGTTATGCAAACACCGACATTAGCGAAAATGGCGAACTCGCTCCTTCAACGGTCTCCATTTCATACGCTAACACGGACGGTGGTAGGGAGCTTCCGCCGGAGTAGGTATTTAACAAAAGTCGGCTGCTCCTCTACCCTAATTTCCAAAATTTCTCCTCCACAACGTGCCGTCCTTTTAGATGTCACTTCTACAGAGTACAATTTGGTAATCTGAAAGTCTTATATTTAGTATATTCATGAAACGCTTTATGTTTGCCTCTTATTTCTCATTTTGTGCCGGCGGTGAATCACTACACCGTCGACATTGCGGAAACTCGATTTACAGCGCATTGCCCGATATTCTTGACCCCGGATAGGATTCTGGGATCGGGATGATTGCATGTTGCTTCAGTATAATCCTTCAATCCCACACGCGTTAACGACCTAGATTTTGTGAGTATGTGGTTTCGTTTCACGTGACCGTTTCATCTCTCACACAATTCGCCGTCCCACAGAAACTTAAAGGGTGGAGGAAAAAAATAGAGGGATAGCTTATCCACCATGTCATTCGCTCAGAAGAATATTTTTGAACTATTTCGGAAGGCCGGGGAAAAGGTAGAGGTTCGAGGAGTCGCCCCAACTCAGATTGTCCACGCCGGAAATAAGACACAAGAGGATAAAGAGCGCAACATCACTATGTTTATTGAGAAGCCTAAACAAAGACGACTTGATCGATGGCTTGACAAGGTGGTCCAAATCTCTGGCTCACAATTTGTGTTCTTGTCTATACTAACAGCTCTTTTAACCTGGGCCTTGCTCGGTATCAAATTTGGGAGGAATAAGACATGGCAGATCCTCATATCAGATGCTCAGGCAATTATCTGCTACATTTTCGATTCGTTTCTAGTCCGCCAGCAGCTGAACGCTTACGACGAAGACATGGCAGTTGCTACGCAGATGCAGTCACGGTCGATCAGCAATCTGCGAATGCTGTCGAAGCTGAAAGATCAATCTTCTCAGGAACAGCAAGCTAAACTGGTTGCCCGTCTCGATCGAGAATTTTACGTTAATGACAGTATTGCAAGCCAGTTGCCATCTGAGGGTCGGTTGGGACGCTTGGTGACCTTCGTCGCCTTAACCATAGGTCACATGGTCACGATCTTCTTATTTTGGGTTGGGGTATTTATCTGGCTCGGCATCGGCCATCTCTTCGACTACAGCGATACATGGCAGCTTTACATGAACTCTGCATCATCCGCGCTGATGGTCTTTACATTTATATTCATCGCCAACATTGGTGAACGCCACAGCGTCTACACTAAGAAATGCCTCGATTCTCTCTTCCAAGCAGACTCATCGCTTGAACTACGACTCCGATCCTTAACCCACGACGTTCGAAGCAACATTGAGGTGGTGATTCCTGCTCCGAAGGTCGGCAAGATTCAGCGTGCCATCTTCTATTATACTGATTTTGTCGGTACCCTGGTGGGGATTGCAATCCTCTTTACGGTGTTCGCTGCTTGGGTGGCAGCCGGCCCGGCTTTAAAATTTAGCTCAAACTGGTGGCTGTTTATTGGAACTTATGCGGGTTTGATCGGCATGTTCGACGGATTTGTGCTGCGGAATATGCAGTCTCGCCTGAGATCGTATACAGACGCCGCAATGCAAGTCGTGGACCGGAGAGACCGGCTTCTTTTTGAAACCATCGGTCTACCATTTCCCGTCACGGGTCCAGAAGAGAAGATCCCCGTGACTCGCCGAGTCTCCCAGACATTGGACCGAATCACTTCGCACCAATTTACCGTCGTCGCCGGCTTTCTGACCGTGGTAGGTCTCGTTGCAGGCGCGAGTGCGATGAACTGGAGTCTAACGGGTCAACTCCTCTGTAACGTTCCACCGAGTATCATCGAATCTTTCCTGATGATAGTCTTGGTCACCGGCCACAATTCGATTGAAGAAAAGAAGCGAAGTGAGCTTCTCATACTCTATGAGAGGCGTTTGCGACTCTCGGGCTATGTCGAAATGATCGAAGGGCTGCAGAATGAGTCCACACTCGGCTCTCAAGATAAAGAAACTGTTGTTTACACGACTTCGACCCCAATCGTGTCTGAATGAGTGCCGAATAGCGGCGAGAGTTAAGACGGAGATGCGCGTGTTTGTGGACTTCAATGGATTAAGACACCACCATGAGCATGGCGGTAGGCTATCGGAATTTCACAAGTTTCTACGGATGTTAGTGGCGACAGGGAGCGGTGATCAGAAGAGATAGAGAGCAGAAAAGAATAAGGTTTACGTCGATAATATTCCGGACGGTGGCGGCACCGTACGGCAATAGCAATACCGAAGCAAAATTAGATCGTTAATAATTTATAGTTGAATTAGTGAAACTATGATAGATTCGGGAGAGCGCTGTTCGCTTATTTCTTTAGCTTTTATCGTGAGAAAGTTACAATATATTCGCAAAGGGAAGAGCGGTTTCGGGAACCACTATACTACTTTCTGTAGCTATTATGCGTTTCATCATCGATAGTTTCGCTATAATAGCTATAATAACTTAGACTACGGGCTTAACACTTCTAGATAGAAGCTATCGGAAGATCTAACTTAGATTAGTGTTAGACATAGCCTTAGAAAGCCTACGGAGAGTACATAGAGATATACTAAAAAGGAAGCTTAACCGAACGTAAGAAAGTCTTAGAAGTAAGGCTAAGAAGGTTACGTAATATCTAAAAAAGAAAGAAGTTAGTATAGTAATATATTAAACTAAAGTATACTAATAGATTAATATACTATTCTACATTATCTTATATAATGGCCCTTATAAGTATATAGTTACGCTCCCTTCCCTTATATAGTTACGCTCTCTTCCCTTATATAGTTATACTCTCTTCGTAGCTAATTTATCTTAGTTATTAAACTATACTATTCTTAGTAACTATTAATAAAATTTTCCGCGCGATCTTAGAAGCTCTAGGCCGCCCTAAGCTATTAAGATAAGTCTACGTCTTATATAATCTATAAGATCGCTAGATTACTTTAGCGAGCCGCGTATTAACTTATAGACTTCTAGAGTTATTACTAATTAATTTAGTTATCTCTAACGTCTCTTTATTCTTTCTATTCTATATCTTTTACTAATTATAACGTTTATTCTATAGCTTCTATATACTTTAAATATTAATAGTTTATTAAAACTATAAGCTTTAAACTCTATTAAATATATCTTTATTAGTAGAGCGTCGTTATTCCTTTATATATATAAAGACTATATAGTTTTAATAGAACTTCGATAAATATAATATTATAAAGATTTATAAATATTTAAATATTTAACGTATTTTAAATATATTCTAAAGTAATTATAATATATATTATTTATTAATTATTATTTTTTTATATCTTTTATTAATATAATATATAATAAATAAAAAATAATTTAAATTTTATTTAATAATCTTATTTATTTAAATATTATTATTTTATACTTATTATTATTAATTTTTATTAATTTTAATCGCTTCTTTATACTTCTTTTATTTATTAAAGTTAAGTTACTTTATACTTCTTTCATCTATTAAAGTTAAGCTACTCTCTAAGATTTTTTATATTATTAATATATAGAAATATAATTCTATTAATTCTCTATCGATTCCCGTTCGTAGTATCTTAATATCTCGTCTCGTTACTAAGATATTAAGATTTAAAAACTAAGTATAACGAGAAATTTTTAATGTTCTTTACTAAGAATTATTTAGATGGGCTTACATTAAGTAGCGTAATAATTCATCTATTAGTTCGCCTATAGTATAATAATTTATTAATTAGTTCGTCTATAGCGTAATAATTTATTAATTAGTTCGTCTATAGTAACGTTAGTCTCTTTATAGATTCTATCTTTAATAACTTAGCCGAATAATAATATACTCTTCATCGCTTTAGGACTTTAATACGATATTCTAAAGATATTTCTTCTATAAGATATTCCTTAGTAATAAAGTCTACTCGAGTATCGAAATGTAGAAGACTACTATCGATAGATAATACTCTAGATTCTTTAATTTAGCGTAAACGAGATTAAGATCGTCTTCGATAACGAAGACTTCGGCAACGATAATAATAAGAGAGAGCTTTAGGATAGCTAATATCTTATTAATAGCGCATTAAGTCTTTAATTAAGTAACTCTTTAAGTTTTCTAATTCTAAACTAATCGTCTAAACTATAGAATTACGTCTAGAAGAATATAACTTTATTCGTAACGTCGAAGATATTATATAATAACTTATTACTATTAATATTAACGAATATTATATATTCTATATTAATACTAACTAGTTATATTAATCTCGTTCTTCTTATAGATAATATAGTCTCTATACTATAACGCTTATTTCTTAATTATTCTAGATTAATAGCTATACTATCTTAATCATCGTTATTCCGAAGTTAAGATATAAGCTAAGATTATTAATGAGTTTAGAATACTCTCGCTACACTATATCGTCGGCTATAGACTTTATCTCTTAATTAACGGTAAATTTATTATTATTTTATCTCTTCTCACTTCTAATTTAGCGAATTATAGTTATTAAGTTATCTCTTCGTTACTTCTACTATCTCTATACTATCTATACTTCCTTACGTATATTAATTATTTACTTAATTATCTTAATATTCTCGAAATCGTAAAGATAATATCTTATACTTATAATTTAGCGAAAGTAATAGTGATAATAAAGAGAATAATAACGATAATACTAAATTCGTCGTTAAGATAACTTCTTAGATTAATATTATAAATTATATTACTTCCGATAGCGCGCTCACTTTTAACTTAGCTAATCTTTCGACGATATCTTTACTATCTATACGTACCGCGATAAATATCTTTTTATCTCTTTATTCTTCTTAAATAGCGACGTAGAATATTTTTAATAATTCTTACGATCTAAATAATTTTAATAACTTCTTTAGCTTTAATACTTCTCTTAATTAAACTAATTTCGACGAGATTAAAGTACGAAAATCGAAGAAGAAAGATAAGAAAGATAAAGAGAAGAAGAGTCTTAACTATAATAATAAGAATAGTAAAAAAGACGACGACGATCGAAACTAAGTTTCTTTCGCGGTATAGAAGCTACTCTCTTAGTATTACTTCGACGATTACTATAGTTATATATGAGAGAAGTATATTTAACTTAAATAAGAGTATAAAAATATCGTAAAGAATTAAAAGTACTACGATCTCTTATTCTACTTTCTATAAGCGAACTTTTTTTTCGTATTACGACTAAATTACGATATCGATTAACTACTTATATTAAATTAAGCTAAAGCGAATTTTACTTCTTTAATAATATAATGAAAAGAAATAATATATAGAATAAGTATTAATTATCTTTATCTACGTTATATCTATCTATATATATATATTACTTCGTCGACGAATCCCGAGATATTCTTTAATATCGATAGTTTTCTCGACTTTACTATTTTTCTCGGCTTTACCTACGAAGAATTAAATATTAAGTTCGCGCCTTAGATTCGAAAAAATATAACGACGGATATCTATATTACGATTATAATATATCGTGAGGCCCTTATATAAGATTATTACTATAAGCTAAATTAGAGAGACTATAAGTCCGCGATTCTCTACGTCGTTTAGACTCTTCTACGTAATATCTCTTACTTCTTCGTCGCTCGACTTTTCGACGCTCGGGATATCGAGATATACTTTCTCTTTTCTTATATCTCGGTTAATAATTACTTTATTAATTTAATATAGCACTAACTAAAACGATAGTTTAATTAAATCTTTCTTCTAGCTCTTAAGTTAATTACGCTCTCTTATATTTTATAATATCTTCTTACGTCGCTTTATTAAGCGTAGACTAACTTCGTAACGATGTAAATCGAGAGTCGTTAAGCGACTACTACGAGCTATTAAAGTATTTAGATAATTCATTATACTCTTTAACTATATCTTCTTTAGCTACTATAGAGCGCGATTATCAATCGAATCGAGATATAGAAAGAGTTCTAGAATTTCCGCGATTCTTAGATCTTCTTCTACGCTAAAGAAATTAAGCTAGTATTTAAGATTTAAAGTAACTTCGCTATTATCGTTCTTAATACGCTTTAACGATAAAATAACTAAATTCGAAGAGTACTACGGTGAGAATATATTAATTAAGATCGATTCTATCTTAACTTAGAATAAAAGATTTATATTCTTCGTTCGCTCTTCGACTCTTATATTCTCTACGTTCTTACTACGTATCTATAGCGACGATATTATCTCGAATTCTATATCGAATAGCTTTACCGAGAAGAATCGAGAATCTCGTCGTCGAATAACGTCGACGCTCGCTTCTATATATAGACGATACTCCGTAACGCCGTCTTAATTACTAGCGTCCCACTGAAACGGTCGCGCCTTTATCGCGGAGATATTCGATATATCTAGAACTATAATTCGATAAAGAAGATATTCGATACTAATAAACGAATACTCTTTAATAACGATATAATAAAGAAGCTAGCGGTGAACTTCTTAGTAAGTAAGACGGCGCGCGCCGTAGTCGATAAACGTCTACGAGAGAGAAGAGTCTTACGTCGAGTCTATATTTAGAGTCGATACCGAATACGAATCGCTCTCTATAATAATCGACGAAAGAATTACGAAATTCGCTAGAAGACGCGAATTATTTATAAGTATATCGTCGTTATTATAAACACTCTTCGTACGTAATCGTCTTCGTTAACACCGATTCATTCGATTTAGAGTTACTCCCCGTACGTATAGACTATTCTCATCTAGATATACTTTTTATTTCTTCGCTACTACGTTAATCGCTTCGCGTTAAGATTCGAAGTTATTTACGCTCGGGCGATCTTAGAGACGATTATATAAAAGTAAACGAAGATTATAGCTATATTTCTTCGTTATCTTCGATTTACTTTAGGCGCGTAGTAACTCTCGCGAGAACTCGCTCTTTAATAAAGTAGACGAAACCTTTTAAAAGATGAATAGAGAGAGAACGCGATAGAGACGAAGAGCGTAGTTTCTCGTCGTCGTAGTTAAATTAGTTTAAGATTTTATAATACTCTTTCT